AGACAAACACCGTCGCCGCCTTCTGGAGGGCTAATACCGCGTCCTTTTGGAGGGAGGTGTTGGGCGGGAGGACGGATTTGGCGAGGCGGATTGTGAGGGTGCGTGGGAGGAGGTAGTCCTTCTTTCGGGTAAGTATTCTATGGTTTCGGGGGATGGGATGTAGTGGTGGGATGGGCGGGGGTAAGGCAATGGCAAGGGCAAGGGCACGGGTATGGGCCATACCTCAATGCCTACGCCTGCTTCTGCGCGGGCTTTCAGTTGCTGTTCGGTGGCTTCGACGGTTCCTCCGCTGCCGCTGGGTTTGGGTGTTGCTGCTGCTGCTGTCGCTGCTGTCGCTGTCGCTGTGGTGTCGGGTTGAGGGGAGGAGGAGGATGGGTGGGAGGGTGGGGATTGCGTCGTGGGTGAGGGGGGCTCTGTCGCTGCTGCTGCTGCTGCTGTCGTGTTGGAGGTGGATTTGCGAGCCATGGTGTTTTATATATCTCTTTTTTGGGGGGGGGGCAACTGGGTTGGGGTTGGGAGTGAGGGTTTGTTCGCGATCGAGTCTTTCGTCGAAGGCTTCTTGATGCCCAGTGGCCGACGATTCCCCTTCCTTTCGCACGGCGGTCAAAAATTCTGGGGTCTCGGAGGGTGCGCGGGTCGATGGGTTCAGGTTTTGGAGGTTTCTCTTTTCGAAAAGAACAGTGCAACAGGTGATGCTGGATAGAGAAATTTGTGACCCGACTCAGTCAACGTGAAAATGACGCGTCGCGAATGGGGATTGTCGGAAGGAAAAAGCGCGTGTGGAGCAAATCCCATTTTACTCTTCCCGCGGCCGGGGTTGGGAAGACTTATCGATTGGTGGCGATAAGGAAAGGCACGGGACTGTGCATGCGTGGATGGTTACAGTATACAGTATAGCAAAGGTCTGATCGTGATTCTATCTTGAATGTTGATGATGTTTTTCTTGTTTGGGGTTTGCTGGATGTAATGCGGCTTGGTTCTTTCTGTCCTTTGGGTGACTGGGTTGGTTTAGCATGGTTTGTGCATATCTCTGTGCGTGCAGTGCTATATATCTTCTGCCTTCTTCGAACGGTCAAATATACTGACATGTCATCACGACCACAACCATAATCCTGGCCAGGTTATCGATCATCGGCACTAGGAGCTAAGGTGATAATCACAAGGCAGAAAAGCTTTTACGAAAGAAAACGTAGTAGTAGAAGAAATCATGCTCAATTATCTACCTTTTATGAACCATAAACGCCTGGTATCCTGAACAAATCATCTATTCAGCCATTTCCTCGTCCTCGCCCTCGCCGTTGCCCCAGAGTCCCTCGATCTTGAACTCCGCCGCCCACTCCGTCACGATCTTCTTCGTGTCCACGCCCGCAGCCGCAGCCGAGCCGTCGGCGGGCGTCGTCACCACCTGCAGCACAGGAGGGTTGACCCATCCCTGGATGCGGCCGTCTCTCCAGTCCGTGATGACGGTCATCGCCGCCGCCTCCAGGTTGGGCACACCACCCTTGCCGAGACGTCCACGCTTCCGCGCGACCTGCACCAAGAAGTCGTGGGTCTGATCACCCCCGGAGGGGAGCAAGGGCGGCACGCCGTAGACCTTCAGCAACTTGGCCACGAGATCCTCCGAGGTGGACAACCGCTTGAGCAGCAGAGACACGGCGGGGACCGGGTCTTCGATGTGCTTCGGGGGAACCGCGTTCAGCAGGATCAAACGAGCGTGCTCCTCCTGCTTCTTCTTGCCCTTCTTGCTGCTGCCGCTGCTCTTCTCGCCCGCGTTGGGGAAGACAATACCGGGGGAGTCGATCAGCTTGAGCTTGCTGTCCAACTTCACCTCCCGCAAGCTGGTGGTCACACCGGCCTCGGCGCCAGTCGGGCAGGCGTTGCTGGAGCCCTTGTTCATGCGGGCCGTCAGGGCGTTGATGACGGACGATTTACCGACGTTGGGATACCCGATCACACCCACGGAGATGGATCGCTTGAGCTGCTTGCTCTGTGAATACGTCTTGAGAGCACGGAAGAGAGTCTCCGAGGTACCCTTCACCGTCAATTGCTTGTGGTCGAACGTGTGCGCGTTGCCCGAGCCGTTGGAGGCCTTGAGAGGCAGAGTAGGGAAGTAGCGACGCAGGTGGATCAGCCAGTCCTTGAGGACCGGAGGGGGAACGAGATCGATCTTGTTGAGGATCAGGATCAACCGCTTCGAGCCACGGTCGGCGGCCATGATGGCGCGCTCCACCTCCTTGGAACGAGTGCCCTCGGGGTCGCGAGCATCCAGCACATACAGGACCACATCGGCGGCATCCACGACCTGCTTGAAGACCTTGTCGAAGGCTTTCCGCGAGCTCTCCTTGGAGGTCAACTGTGCTGCTAACGAGGGGGCGGCAATGTTCTCCAGGGAAGCGCCACCCTCCTCCTCGTCCATTTCCATGTCATCGTCGTCATCCTCCTCGTCGTCGTCGTCCATCTCGTCATCGTCATCCTCCTCGCTGTCGCTGTACTCGGCGGCACGAGCCCGGGCCGAAGCAAGCAGCGCAGCCATGGGGTTCGACGAATCGTCCTCGTCCATCTCATCATCGAGAAGATCGTTTTCGTCGATCGCCGCGCCAGTCTGAGCGCCCTGCTCTCCGGATTCCTTCTGTGCGGCGCGGCGCGCGCGGGCTTCCTCACGGATACGTTCTTGCTCCTCCGCCTTCAAGCGCTTCTTCTCCTCGATCTCGTGCAGGATCTTGTCCTTGTGGGGGAAGAGGTTGGGGATACCGGGATCCTTCTTGATCTTGGACCGCCATTCGGGGTTCTAGTAGCCGTGTCAGCTGGATATACTGACCCAGCAAAGAGACAGGAGGGTGTTTACCTTCTTGGCGAGCTTTCTCATCTTGCGCTGCTTCGCCGCAGAGGCTTTTTCAATCTTGTGCCTCAAGCGGACGGGCACCCGCTTCGAGTTCTTGCCTGGGAAAGGGTCAGTTTCTACGAAAGAGGAAAAGTAGTGCAGGAGCAAACCTACCGAGCTTGACCATCTTGGATAATCTGGCAGAGATCAAATCACAGACACAAAGAAGCGATCAAGGCCGAGCAAACTGATCTGCGAGGCCAGCGAAAATCGAGTCGCTGCGAACAACAATTTTGTGCCGCCAAGATTTGACGCTAAGATAACCGGCCCCATGTTTGGCCGATCTCCGAGGCTTCTGTTTCTCGCGCGGGACAATCACCTAATCAATCGCTTATCTCCATCATCTCATCCCATCCCGCCAAAACAATCGGTACATTTACTCTTCGGCCTATTCCCGTCAATCGTTCGCAAAGGACTGTGTCCGCTCCTTACTTCGCTCTATCCTACAGCTTCGCTCTAGAGAGAACCTCTATTACTGCTTACAGCACCTCTCTCCACTCTTCTGCATCACCAGTCCGCTGTCCTACTCCGGACCCCGCTCTTATCATGTCCAACTCAACCGGCTCGTTCTCTGCCCCTCCGCAAATCCTCACCTTTGACGGTCTCCTTTCCGACTTTGACGGTACCATCGTCGACTCAACCGATGGTAAGTGCCCTCGGAAACCTCGCCATAAGTCTATTTATGATTTGCATTCTCGCCCCGTCGCACACTGGCACCTCGATCGATCGAAACTGACGCTCTGATCCTTCTCTTTTCTCCCCCGCACCAGCGATCGTGAAACATTGGCACAAGTTAGTTCAGTCCAGTCCTCTATACAACAACCCCAAACCGCAACCCGTACAACTTCTGTCGGAACATCGCTAACCGTGGCGACATTTCGCCATTGCAGAATTGGCGCGGAGTTAGGCGTTGACCCCGCGACGATCCTGGCGACCTCACACGGACGCCGAAGCATTGATACGCTGCAGCTGTATGACCCGACGAAGGCCAACTGGGAGTGTAAGTCTTTTTGTTGATTGTACTGTACACGCACGCCATTACACAGTCCAGATCGAATTTCCTGAATCCCCTCCAAAGCAATACCCGATCTCGTCAACACACAGACCCTTTTTTTGCTGTGAAAGCCCACCAAAAAAAAAAGCAAACGCACAACAGCGCAGCGCTGACAACACCACAGACGTCAGCTACGTGGAGGGCCGTATCCCTCAGGAGTACGGATCCGACGCCGTTGAGATTCCCGGCGCGCGGTCCCTGCTGTCAGCGTTGGACGAGGCGGGCGCTCGCTGGGGGGTGGTGACATCCGGAACGCGCGCCCTGCTGGAAGGCTGGCTGGGCGTGCTGAACCTCACGCACCCGGACGTGTTGGTCGTGGCCGAGGACGTCGAGCTGGGCAAGCCCGACCCGCGGTGCTATCTCTTGGGTCGGACACGATTGGGTCTGGAGCATTCGCCCGCGCTGGTCGTGCTGGAGGATGCGCCCTCGGGAATCAAGGCGGGCAAGGCGGCTGGGTTCACGGTCATTGCGTTGACGACGACCCACACGCTGGAGCAACTTCAGGCGGCCGGGGCGGATGTGATCATCGAGGACCTGCGGAGCATCAGCGTCAAGAGCGTGGTGGATGGACGGATTGAGCTGGAGGTGCGGAATGCCTTTGAGGCATAGATGCGTAGGATAGAAGGATAGAAAGAGGCTAGACTGGCTCGGCATGGAAGTAGTAGTGGCAGACCCACCCCCCTTCCCTCGATGAAGATGCCTTCTTGGTGATTTCTCTGTTTCCTACTGCTGTATCTTTGGAGCCAAGATTTGCCTTCCAACTTAGATAGACACGGACCTGACAACATTCGCATTGTACATATTTAGCATCATAGATAGACATAAGACTAGAATGGCGAGCCAGCCAGCTACACAGAAGTATCAGATAACACCCAGAACCAGACCCGATGCCCATGCAGTCATAGATCTACACAACACACATCCAATCTGCCCTTATGACCGAGATGTACTCTAATCGCCATGACCCCGCCGGTGAACACCGAACACCACCAAGGTGAACAGACCCGGTATCATACAGATGCACAGTACCCATGAATCTCTCGCGACAACCCAACCCGACAAGTATCCGGTACAGTCGGGTAGCACTAGACCTCGCCATACCAGGCTAGACCCGACAAGCCGATCCAAACCATCCAGCCCCCAAGTTCTGTAAGCGGCAGACTAAGTACCTTAGGTAGCCACCCGAACGGCCTCAGAGGAACACACTATTGACTTTCTTCTACAAATCATGACCACTAGTTACCTTCCACCCAGAGACCCATCTAGATCCCCAGGCCCTCTTACCCTCATACCCACCTCATACCCTTCATACCCCCGACAGAGAAAGATATCCCAGCTCTCAACTCTCGTGCAGACCAAAGAAAGGAACCTTACGATGGCAGAAGAAATTCCATCCCACACACTGCCCCCCTCAACCAATTGCACATACCTACATACTCACCCACAGATCCCGACTCATAACCCCAATCTCACCGAGATCCCCAGAACAAGGCACAGGTAAAACGAATAGGTAGCCCGGAAGTAAAGGGTCTAGACCCGTCAGCCGTGCCCTGTGGCATACTTCATCAACGGCCGATGAGAACAGATTATCGGTTGCAGTATGGCTCTGGCTCTATGGGATTGGATTCGGGTCAGGTAGATAAGTTACCGTAGGTGGGTTTTGCGGGATACGCTGCCCACGTGCTCTCGGGTCTTCATGGTCTACATGTGTTGTCGATGTGCAGTTCGTTGGGGATGGGAGTGTGGATGGAGGGGCAGTTGGTCTTTGGTCTAGTGGGGTTACTTTATTTCCGAGGCCATAGGGAGGGGGTATGGTGGTT